AGGAAATAACTGAAAATAGAACAATTTGAAACTTAGCTTATTTCGTAGAAACGCAATGTGCCGCAAATTTTATTGCACACATCTATAAAATAGCTTTTTATCTCAAGGTTGAATTATATTTTAGGGCTGGATTAGGTGCCACAAATGAGAAATTTGCAATATTCGAGGTCTCATAATCTTAGCTTTCCATGTCACGCTTTCAGTAGTCTCGATCAGTTAGGATTATTTTTCAGAATTCGAGCATTCCAAAAAAAACTATTACTGTTTTTATACAGAAGTTACACTAGACTAAAGTTCTGGATAGAAAAATTAGCTTTTATGTGCAGAGAAACCCGAGAAAACAGACTTTGAAARTAGCCCTCGGCCGACCTCGAAAATCGGCGTCTTTCACTGATTTGGGGTCGATGRACAAAAATTCGCATAGCGGGTGGAAAAAAGAATTTAGAACAATTCTAACTGCAATTTTGCAGTGAGGATAGATAGTACTTTCGATGATAGGAATATAAAAGAAATCTATTTTTCGAGCCCAGATCGAGTGGCACGCTGTTACAGAGACGCCCTCTTAAACGCTGTAGATGAAATATCCGGAATATGTCATATGTTACGTCTGAACTTTACTGCAAATTTAAGAAATCTTTTATAAAAAGTGTGTGATTACAATAAAGAGACATTAAAGACCCAGAGTTTCCTCGAGATGCTTTGCGGTTGCAAATGCTAATTAAGGTATACAAAAACGTTCGTTTTGGCTTGTAGTATAATTATCAAAGCTGTTTGCAATTGGCTGAATAAATAAATTTAATAGAATAAAAAAAGTCGTATTATAAAATAAAATAAAAATGGCGGAAAGCTTTGGGTCTTTAAATCATTTTAGCCTTAAATCAAGGCACCAACAGGCATTTTATAGAGTGTACTATGGTATAATATAATAATTTAACCAATATTAAGGTTTAGTAAAAATACACAGGTGATTATTGAAAATCTCGTGTGCTGATTGGTCGAGAAACTCACACTATCACACGATAATTATCTCCAGCGATAATCCAAAATGGCGGCCAGCCGCTTTGTTGCTGTTACCGGGAAAAAAATGTCTTTTATGATCTTGCTTATCATTTTGTTGAAAGAATCACCTGTGCATTTATACTAACACTAAATAATCGCTGTTAGAGCATATTTAATACTGACTCGCCTGAGATACCTACGTGGGATCCCCCAACGTTAAGTACAAGTTACTAATGTTATCCGTTCGCTGAAGGACTCTGATTTAATAGCCATTCTGAGGTCGAGGGAAAAATCTGTGTCAAGGTGCCATGACAGTGCATTGTGGGACTTACAGGTATCCAAGACTAGAACACAGTCCTAAAACAGTCACACAACCTGGAACGCACTGCAATGCCAACGTAGCCCAGTTTTTCCCTCATCCTCTGAATTGCTAATGCCACTTCCAAATTGACTTAGTAAAATAATGAGTTGCCTGCGTTCTATATGACCAGCGGTCTTACACGTCGGGATCCTCAGACGCATACAATAAAAATAGAAACGTGTGAACAATAATTGAAATAAAATAGAGTGAGAAGTATAACCTTGAGTATTTTTAAATACGGGGTAAGATAAAGGGTTTCCTCATTGTGTGAAAAGAACTAAGACTGACTGAGTGTTGATCCGGCTGCGTTTTGAACCCAGGGCCTCCAGCATAAGAGCTAATCTATTCTCACTGCATACATAATTAGCGTGCCACGTAGGAATTTAGCAACCCCCCATTTATGGACATTGGAGTTTGCGCAGTGCAGGTGTAATGCTTTGCGACCCCTGCATATATAAGCGCCACACCCAGATCCTTGAATCATTCCGTCGGAAGTTGCCAAAGGAGAGAGTAGAAGATTCACCCCACCCACCTCTCCTGGTGGCGGTTGACGACGCATCGCATGCTTTTCGCATGCTCATTGCCAGCAGTCGCGGTCACCTTCTATATCTTAATTCCCTTGGCTCGGTAATGAGTATGCAGTGAGGATAAAATACTAAAAGGGACGGACCATTTGACTTTTGATGAGGGGTGGGGGTAGGTAAATTTTGTATGTAATCGATGTTTTTTTTACAATCATCCATGTTGCAAGATACTTTTTAACCGAGTTTTGAGTGAACCCGGTTTTGAGCTATGCGCGCGGAGCCTGGAGACGAAAAAACGACTGCACTTTGGTTTTCTAAAAATCTCTGAATTTTTGCGCTCAATGTCCCAGTGAGCGATATTCTGGATCGTGATTGTTAGAAGTGTTGGGAATCCTGCCTGGAATTGAAATAGTAATGATGAAAAGGTAAATTATACACCGTGAAAAGATGAAAAAACTTACCGACGTTTCGGACGCTAGTCCTTCGTCGGAGTAAAGTCCGACGAAAGACTAGCGTCCGAAACGTCAGTAAGTTTTTTCATCTTTTCACGGTGTATAATTTACCTTTTCATCATTACTGTTTCATTAGAAACACCGACGCAGCTCACACTAGTTTTTAGCTAGTTATATCTTGGAATTGAAATAGTCCAACAATGTATTTTCAGTTTGTTTACTGATTTGAGCTCAAAACGAGTCTACAGTTGACTTAGTCACGTGATAGTCACTATAATTGATATGATATTGATTTATATACACAGTTCATTCACTACATTGAAGAATTACTCCAAGCCTTGCTCGATCCGCGATAGAGTTTTTAAGTTTAAGGGCAATCGTACGGAAAAAGGACTTCCGGGACGAGATAAAAACTGGGTGGATTAGTCATTACAGTGCATTCTGGGACTTTTAAGGCGCATATTTTCTAGATGCGTCTATTTCGTCTCCTAAAACAGTCCCACAATTGCAATGCCAACTCGACCCAGATATTTTCCTCAACCTCAGAATGGCTAACAAAAAGATATTTTATTTTATTTTCTTCTTGAACGGATTTACTGCGCAAAGAAAATTTTTCGCATTCTTTTGGTGTTTTTAAGCAGTTGGACACTTTAAACGCTATACAAAATGTACCCGAAGTGATCCTTATTAATAGTTTTAACTATAACGGTTAGAAATGAGCGAGCAAGACTTGGAGCGAGACTACGGCCGCGTGACCCTACACGAAATGTTTTTGATCTGTTAACTAAAGAATTTAATAAATTAAAACCACTGTAAAACCGAACTACATATTCTTTTAACGTCCCTCTTAACTAATAAAATTACACCTTGTGTGAAACATCTTTCGTCATTCGCCACGTTTTAAAGATAGCGGGAACCTATAGGATTAAAAACAATCCATAGATGGGGTAGCAGCTTGAGCCCAGGTTCACAATGTTAAACACATGACGAATAATCCTTAATAATTAATAAGTATAGCATCATCATTTATGAATTCTCTGACAATTAAGCTAGATAGAGTTTAAATATATTGATTAATTACCTACAGATTTGTGGTTAGCAGGGGAGAAGTGGGTAGGGAATAAGCTCAACCCATTCTCCGTATCCCATGATTCATAGCGAGTTGTTCATATCACGCAACGTTTTAACATAAAATACCAGCAGCCTGGTCACTACTCCATGTCATTTACTTGACGTGTGTTAGTTTCTCAAGTTCTTTATCGATGCATTATAAGTTGTATTACATGAAGTGAAAACGCAAAGAGTTCACTAATTTTCTGTCGCACGTGGATGCTCGTTGCAGGAATTTCGGAATTCCCATTTAATTTCCCAGCCTAAATTTCGGCAAAATCAAGTCCCAGTGATGAACCTTGGAGAACTCCCAAACTGGTGATTCTAATCTGCCCTATAAACATCCACATACTTTTAAGATTCCTAGTCAAGAATAGGATTAAAATGTGTAGATAAAATCTCAACATGTTGCCTTGGAAACGCTAGTCCTGAAAGGATTATGGGACGCCCTAGTTTCATTTCTCTAATGGGTACAAAAAAAACACACGAAAAATTGAAAAAGTCACGTGACCTTAAATGGGCCAACTATAACTAAATCTCAGAATGTCTATCGAAACTAAATAGATATACGAACGCAAAGCATCCTGGTACTTGTAGTCCTATGCAGGGATCGCGTAAATCTTTGAAATTTGTCGAACTAGAATGCGAAATACAGGAAGCCCAACTTTGCATTTTTACCCCTTCACGTCAATTCAAGGAACAATTGTCGTCTCCATCTGCCTCACCACAGGTATCCCAATCATTACACTTTAAGCAGGGCAAGGTTTTTCTATATCGAGTATAAATACTTCTATCTGATTGGTGAAAAGGGTGATCAAACCCCCCAATATGTTCATGAACTAATAGAAAGATCCTAAGGCTAGAGCTAAATGAAAGATTTCTCGGAATAAATTGTTAGAATTATTAAAGATTGATTTCCCCTTCGGTGGTTTCGAAATCAGGATTAACGTACGAGAAGCCTTCGAAGTCTTTCGGGTTGATGTTCGCTATGAAGGACTTATCACAAGGCGTCAGGCGCGCTGCTTCGTCTGTGAATTCTGGATCAAAATTGTCGAAAGAACGCTTTGATTTCTGTCAAAAAAAGTAGCGTATTAGTAGGAGAACAGAGAGAACTGGGACAAGACACGACACGAAACGGTATACGACATGCTGTAACACTGAAATGGCTTCCCATAAGAATGGTTATCGTATGAGTGGGAATTATACGCTACTGTACGACATGCCCACGTAACATTGAAATGGCTTCCCATAGAATGCTTAGAGTTATCGTATGAGCGGGAAACATATGGTACTGACTGACAGCACGGACATGGGTACGACATGCCGTGACATCGAAATGGCTTCCCATAACAATGGTTATCATATGAGTGGGAAACATACGGTACTGACTCACAGCACGGACATGGCACGACATGCCGTGACATCGAAATGGCTTTTCAATGCCTTTCAGTAATTACGGCTACGTTAAGATACGGTACGGTACGGCTATATGAACTTGCCGTATCGTTTGTCGCTCATACAAAAAGTGCACGATATCGTATACACTTACGATTTTCGGTTTAAATGGCGGTTGTACTTCTCTAGATGCTAGTTTAACCCAGTCAATGTGTCTGAAGAATAAATGATCTCTGATCTCAAACTCTCCGTTATCCGAGCAGCCAAGACGCTTTGCAGGGTGTTTGGTAAGGAACTGTACAGACAGACAGACAAATAAATTAATGGATAAGTATAACTTGGCTAATAACACAAATCACAACCGTATAGGCAGCTATTTCTCGGGGGAGAGGTTGGTGGGTGAGGGTTTTATCGTAGAACATTCCGAAAAACGTGCAGTTAAAGTTTGGGATAGTTCTATAGAGCTTTTTCAGAAATTCAACAATACTTTATTTTCCGCGCTAAAAGTCAAATTTATTCTTTTTTTTTTTTTTCTTTTTTAATTCAAAAGAATAAATTTGACGTCAAACGCTGAACATAAGACACTGTAGGATTTATTAAAAGGGTCTACATATTGCATGTGACGTCAAAGCAGCTCAATTTGGTGGTCAAAACAAAAGCATTTCAATCTCATGGGGTCAGTTGGAAACCTAATGTTATAATCCCCAACCTAGCCGCATTCCGACGTGCTACAAGGGGTCTATTGTTGTAACCTCTTGCTGATTGGATAATCGCCCATAGTATATTTGGGGCTTGATGTGCAACAGGCAATAAAACCGTCACCAACCTTTTCTTAGAAACAGTCAATGTCATTAACGTTGTCCACCGAAAAAA